CTAATGAATCATGGTAAAAAAAGCCATGAATTCTATGTGCAGTATTCCCCTAGCGCTGGAGTTCTCCCGTTCTCCTTGATCGGTAAACTTGGTCTTGGCTTGCTGGCTGTTCCTGCTGATCTTCTGGGGGAGGGGCCTGTTGCCGTGGTTCCCAAATGTCTTTGCCGGAGGCGGAATTGCCCCGCCCTTGTCAGTCCCGGCTAAGCAAGCTGCTCGGGTTTGCTCTCAGGAGCTTTTGTTCCCTGCAAGCTCTTGGTACAGCTTTGGAGGACCAGGGTGAAAATGGTAGCTTCCCAATCTCCACCTGAAGGAGCTGAGAACTCGGGGCCCCACTCCTCAGTGCGCCCCCAGAGAAAAGCAGTCACTCCCGTCTCCCCGGTCTCCAGCCGCACTCCGTGCTCACCCGGCCTGTGACTGAGCGTTTCTATCTCTGGCTCCGGACCCTGTGTGGAGTCTCCAAACCCAGCAGATCCCTGCGGTTCGTTCCTGCGCCGCTCCTCCCCGGGGAGGAAGGGGAGTCTCCCCAGCTCTGCCGCTTGTTGGGTCCCTGCTGGAGGAGCAGTGGCCCGACTGGGCCGCCGATCACAGTTTATGGCAACCCCGAGCTGAGAGCCCACGCCTCGGCTCCGTCTCTGCAGCCGGCTTCCCCGCTCCAATACCTGGGAGCTCTGCCGCACTCAGGCACCCCCGGTCTTTCTGTGACCCCGAGGGTCCTGGGACCACAATGTCCCGCGAGGGTTCCACCTCCTGCTTAGCCACTGGAGCGACGTCCCTCAGCGGAGCCGACTTCTAAAAGTTCCGATTTTGTGCTCCGCGGCTCTATCACTTGCCAGAAGAGTCCGACGGAGGCCCCCTCCCCCGCCGTCTATCCTCCCAAATATCACCTCGGATTCACTTCTCCGCACGTCCTACCTTCCAGAAAGTGGTCGCTTCTCTGTTCAGAGAGTTGTCACTACTCTCTTCTTCGGTCTCCTGTTGAGTTCGTCTAGCTCACTGAATATATTTAACATTGATTTAATAGCCAATTTGATGTCTTTGACTTTGAAGTCCTAGCCCACACTATCTTAATATGTGATCTTACTTAGAAATAGGGTCATTGTCAGAACAACGAACAATTCCATCTTTCTGAGAAACTTTTCTTTATATCCGTTTTTAACCATTAATATTGAGACAAAAGAATTGATGTGATTATCAATTACTACTATCTACTATGTACTATCTACTACTACTATTACAACTATCTACTATCAATTACTACTACTACTATCAATTACTATTCCATTTTCAAAGCACTGATTGTAAAATAAAGCTAAGAATTTATTTAAAAAAAAGAAATAGGGTCATTATATGTGTAATTAGTTAAGATGAGGTCATTCTAGAGTAAGGTGGTTCTCGTAATCTAATGTGAATGTTGTCCTTATAAAAAGAGAAAATTTGGATACTCTGAAGCACACACTAACAGGGAATCCCAAGTGAAGATAAGGTAAGATCTATAAGCCAAGGAATAACAAAGATTGCCAGCCAAACACCAAAAACTAGGAGAAAGGGATGGAATAGATCCTCCTTCACAGAAATCAAATGGAAACAACCCTGTCAACTACCTTGACGTTGGACTTCTAGCCCCTAGAACTGTGAGACAATAGAATTCTGTGGTTTAAGCCCCCAATTTGTGGTACTACATGCTTCCTCTCATGTGCCTGCCTTTCTATCTTAATTTCTCGTTAATTTCAAAAGTTTTAGAACTAAGTGTTAAATCCATAATTGTTACCATCAATTTGCCAAGACTCAAGTAAAAAGTTCACCACTGCAGGAAAAAAACGGCTCATTATTACAAAGGGTTAATTATAAACATTGATCAAGTAATGTCCTCTAAAACATACATTTCTCGTTGAAAACAACCATCTAAAATAACATTATAAAGTTTTAATCACTCATTTTCCCAATATCAGTGATATAAATAAGAGCTTCAGTTAGTCATCAGGCCATTTAACTAACGCTATGATTTCAGCGAATTGCCAGTAATTGACACGACTTCAAGGGAGAGGAATGAAATTTCAAATCTTTTCTGTTGAAAACATCAGGTACTAATAATCCTCCAACTCTTTTTAATTCTCCCTATCCCTCCTATGTTGGAATGGTGTGCAGAAAAAAAGCCACTCAAACTACCCATCAAAGAGTAAGAATGTAAGAAAATATTTATAATATGTAAGAAAGAAATATAAGCTTGTTATGATTTGATGGGGCAGGGGTGAAGGGGAGGTGGAAATAAATGTATGCCAAGGACATCTTTTTGGGAATCTGACAGCTCACAGCCGGCAACAGGCTGACAACCCTGGGAACTGCCCACCCTCCCCACCCTGAGCCCATCCACAACACAGATGCCCCATGTTGATGGGACAGGAGCCTGACTCCGGACATGCTGAATGGAAGTGGGTGGATGGCTGATCCAACTCAGACCAATCAGATGTCCTCTTCCATAATTCAGAACTGAGACTAAGAAACAGTGAGTCCATCAGTTCCTCCTAAGACCAGAACTATTGAATAAACTTGTTTGTGGAAGAAAGGGTACATTTTGGCTGCTATGTGCATTCCACAGGCAAAGAAAGTCTGCATGCAGAAACAAGAATGAGTTGCATGCCCACATGAGTTGAGATGGTGTTGCAGTTCCTGGTTCTCATCCATTCCTAAGGCCTTGCGTGTATATACTCCTGCATTCTACAAAGTCTTATAATAACATGTGCTTTCTTGTATAAGCTACTCAAATAAGACGTTTGTCACTTATAACTTGAAAGTCCTAATGCATACATCTTTTGTCCCCCTTTCCCCAACTGTATTATTATTATTAGCTAGAGAAATAAGGTTTAAATTACTTAATTTCTGATTTTCCTAAAATAGGAATATGATTTCCTACACTCTAATCATTACAGTACCTTGCAAAACAAAAAGTGACTGCGAAGTCAGCGGATTCAAAGAGAAATTCTGAATAAGTAAGCAGTAAAACACAATCTTACCTCAAGATTCTCTTTTTTATACACTTCAATAGCTTTCTCTTCGGACAATCCACAGCAGCCGTATTCCAAAGGAGCAAACACTGTAGTTGGAACATTAACATAATCACACTGAAAGATAAGCAAATTACATCCGCTTATTTTGTGACACTTCACAGCAAAAATCTACATTACATACATTTCTAAGAGGAAAATAAATAAGTCTGGTTCAATGTGACTGATTCTTCCATTTCACCACTTCAGGGAATTTGTAGTTATACTCAAAGTAGGTGGTGAACCCAACTCCAGAGCAGAGACCACACCCTGGCCAGTGGCCCACGAATGGGACCAGCTCTCCTAGAGCCTCAACCTTCCACTCTAAAATGTTTCATTTCCATCCCCCTGATTCTGGACCCTGCTCCCACTGGAGCACCTCTACCAGGTGACCAAGAATCACACCATTTCACTGGAAGCTGAAGTCACCCTTGGCCATTCACATAACTGTCACAGAGGAGATGAGCAAAGAAGCAGTTTAACAGTGTGGGAATGGGTGAATGCCCTGGACCATCGGGGGAGATGGCATAAGGGTAGGGGGGCAACTAACACGGGGACCAGGATCTCATAAGTCCTGTGGTTCTGACAGAATCCCCATAGAGCCCTTATCAGACTGAGGCAGAGCGTGAGTGGACATCGTGGGGAGACTGCAGACTCTGAGCTCTACATGCCTCTTCCAGCAGCTCTATGCACCTGCCTGTGGGAAAGAGAGTGTGAGCACTGGTGGCATCCCTCCCTGAAAGAGAGTGTCTTTGTGACAGCATGGAGAACTGGAACACACTGGTGCAAGCACCATTAGAACCATGCATGGAGAGAAAGCAGTGTGCAGGAGCAGAGAAAGGGTGGAGGGTATAAACAGAGATGAAGGTCACCAGGCCTGCCCATCAATAGCCCCTCAAGGGGTGACACTGCCCATAGCACTACCTGTCCCCCCAGCCGTGCCAACAGGTTGTAGGTGATTAGGTCAAGGGTGGTCTCTAACCCAAAGAAAGCTAATGTGTGAGCTGGCCAGAAATCTATGTAGAAAAAGGTGAGCTACATCAATCAAATTCTTTCTTTTGCAGGAAGACAAGCTGGAAGCAAAGGAAGAATCCCCCAGTGGTAGTGGGACAGGAAGAAATGCACCTGTGGAGCTATAGCCAAGTAAGGCTACTGGAAGAGACCCTGTGAAACCCCCACCTGTGTGCCGGGGCCCCAGAGCAGCTGTGACCCCAGCCCCAGTTCTAGCTCCAAATGCAGTGTGGCCCAGCCCTAGCATGGTGCTTGTTCTAAGTCAGTGTTTCAACTTACTAATTCACAGGATCCTTGTAAAAAAAAACCCTCAGTCTGCCTAGTGGCAGTAAGTTTCTACTTTTTGTTACCCCAAACAAAAACAAATCAAACCACTGCCAGGTATCCCTACATCAGTGAGGTGGATTATGTATAATGTACATCAGCCTTCTTTAACTTAAATGCTCTAGTACCACTTCACATTTGTGAACCTGCAAATCATGGGTAAGCCAAGCATTTTTTTCTTTTTTCCAACATGGCTAGAAAAAAAACACATAACCGTAGGGATAATCTTAGTATTTTTTGACTTCTGTTAGGCCTGCACATACACATCAATCCATTTACAGCTGACCCTTAAACAATGTGGGGGTTGGAGTGCTGACCCCCCATGCAGTCAAAAATCCACATATAACTTTTGAACCCCTCCCCACCAAAAACACTTAATAGCTTACCTTTGACTGGAAGCCTTACAAATATTGTAAATAGTTGATTAACACATATTTTTATGTTATATATATTGTATATTATATTCTTACAATAAAGTAAGCTAGAGAAAAGAAAATGTTACTAAGAAAATCATAAGGAAGAGAGAATACATTTACAGCACTGTACCGTGTTTACTGAAAAGAATCCCCACGTAAGTGGACCCGCACAGTTCAAACCCGCGATGTTCAAGGGTCAGCCGCACTGACCAGCAGCTGACCCTGGGTCCCATGGCTTACAGGGAAAGCCTCATTCTCAAAGGGTGCCTCTGTCTCCCATTTCCTATCAATTAAGAATAATTAACAGGAAATTCCTCAATGCTCCTCTCTTTCATCTAAAACACCTTCTCCACATCTTAAACCATCTCCTCCACTTGAACTTGACTTCATCTTGCCCTTCTTGCCTTCCTTCTAGTCCTGTACCTTTAAGCTCTTTCTTTCTTCATACCCTAAACACACTGCTGCATCTTCAGATCTCTCCACCCGACAGCCACCTTCACTTCTTAAAGCATTTGGCAACTACTCTGCCTCCATACACCCTGAAATGCTAACTGCATTGCCACACTGTAATGTTCAGCATCCTGGGCCCCACCCACTGATGCTCACAGAGCTGCATCCTCGTTGCCCCCATCCAGCAATGCCTCCATATACGTTCAAGGTCTTCCTTCATGACCTCATGAGGCACCTGGGGTGATATGATAAGCAGAACACAGCATCCTTTGTGAAGAAGACATACTCAAAACATTTCACCTGACCCTAATCATGCAAAACAATCAGAGAAATTCAGAATATGAGACATTCTACAAGGAAAGTGGTCTGGACTCACCAAAAATCAAAGTCACGAAAAACAAAACAAGCAGGTAAATAAAGGCAGGGGGACCATTTCAGATTAAAAGAGACTTAAAAGAGCTAAACATACCACATGAATCAAACACGTGCATGTGCATACACTTAATGGAAATCTGAACAGTATCACATTTTTGTTCAATTTCTTAGATAGAATAATGAAACTGTGGTTATGGAAGAAGATGCTTGCTCTCAGGAGATGCATGTTGAAGTCTATAGGGGCCAATGTCATTGACCTGCCACTTACCTCAAAAAGCTCTGGAAAAAAAATGCACGCATTGTATACACACATATTCAGAAAAGGAGAGAGAGCCAAATGGCAAAATATTAATAACTAGGGAATGTGGATGAAAGGGTAATATGGGTGATTATTCCTATTCTTCCTGTGGTTTGACATCTTTCTAAACAGAAAGATGGAGGATGTAAAGGTCTTCAACAGTTCCCACTGCCTAGAGAAGGCCATTCCAATTCTTAATTGTGGCATGAGAGATTTTTGATGAGCTGGCACCAAATGAATTTTCTAGCCTCATTCCCAGTTGTATTCCTCTATCCCCAAGTGTTCTGCCCACACACATCCCGAATGCTCTAAGTATTATAGAAGGGACAATTCTTTGTGTAGGACAAAACATTTAGCTTTCCTCACCCCTACCCAGGCCCTTCATCCGCCTACACTTCCACACGTCCACAGTGCTCTCATGGAGTAGAGCACGACGTCCCCAGCTGGGAACTCTAACAGACTACTCACAGTCCTGCTGAGCTTGGTGCTTGCATCTGCATTATCTACTTACCAGAAAAGCCCTGTGCTACCTCAGTTTTGAATTACTCATCCTACAAAGCCTGTCCCACATCTTTGACTGAAGACAATGAAAAGTGCAGGAGATGCTAGAAATCATCACCTTCACACTTGGCAGAGGTAAAACTGAGGCACAGAGACTTGAAACAACCTGACCAGGTTCACCCACCAGCAGGCATGAAGCCAGGGCCAGCGACTGCCCATCTGGGATGCCTTTACCAGCCCAATAAGTTACAACTAACTGCCCCTTGTCTTACATTACTCATGATCCCCCACTCCCCTGGGAAGCCCCTTGGCACTGGAACCATGCCAATCCTTTGTATATCACCTAGCATGACATCCTGTACACAGCAGACCCTCAAAAGATATTTGTTGAAAATTATTACTAAATAATAATTTATCTGTGATGAACCCTTTACTTGCAAAACAAGTACACAAGTGTTCTTTGTAATGATTTTTTTAATCACAATTTTGATCTAGATATCATCTCAAAAGCAGAAAACTCACCTTTTCCAAACAGCCAGCAAAAAGTCTGCGAGCCAGCAACTTGCCTGCCTGTATGGCAACGGGTGTGAGCTCAAGTTTACCCTCCAGAATATCCCCGACAGCATAAACATAGGGCACATTGGTCTGTTCCACATCGTTTACTGGTATTTTGCCACTCCTATTGGATTTTGGAAAGGAAACAAATACATTATGACTCATTCTGTACTGCTGGATGACTAACACCAACTTTTCCAAGAGACAATGACTAAACACATAGAGCAAAGACCTCCCTCTAAGAAGAGAGGCACCTCAGGTCATCAATGTCTATAAGATCAATGGCTCAAATCATAAGGGTTTCTCTAGCTCCAAAAAAACCACCTTTCTGGTTTTTTTTCTACTCATTTTTTTGGATGCCAAGGATAGGTCCAGATTTCCCTTTGAAATTTTTCTCCTAGCCTGACCAACAACATAAAAATTAACTCTAAATCAGAAAGTGGGTAAGGACATTTCCACAGTTTATTTTTTAAAATCACTGTTTAATGTATCAGTTCTTTAAGGCACACACTAAAGAGTTACTGATTCATTAATGAAAAAAATTGATTAATACAGAGCTGGCACAGTACTTAGTGTGAAATAAACTTACAGCATTAAAATTTTGCATTTTAGTAATTAACTGAGAATTCCAAGAGGTGATCTGTAGAAACATTTTGCTTTGTGCAGCAACAGTGCAATGATCCCACGTGTACTTACTTCTCATTGATTTTGACACCAATCTTCTCCAAGCCTATTTTCCTTGTGCAGGAGTCACGACCAATTGCTAATAAAACCTGTATTTAGAGTGAGATCCAAAACACAAATTGTCAATGTCAGGAATGAAAGAAGGAACATCACTACAGATCCTTTAGACATTAAAAGGACAATAACAGAATACTATGAACACCCTATGCCAATAAAGTTGACAGCTTAAATGAAACATTCCTTGAAAGACAGTTTACTAAGTCACACACATGCAAATCTGAATAACTCTATGTTCTGTGCTAAATTATGTCCCTGTACCAAATTCACATGTTAAAGTCCTAAGCCCCAGTGCCTCAGAATGTAATGTATTTGGAGACAGGGCCATTAAAGAAGTAATTAAGGTAAAGTGAGGCCATTAGGGTGGGGGCCCTAATCCAGTATGACTGGTGTCCTTTATAAAAAGAGGCAATTAGGACACAAATGACACAGACTGAGGGGCAACCACGTGAGGACCCAAGGAGAAGGCACCATCTGCAAGCCAAGGAAAGAGGCCTCAGAAGAAACCAAACCTACTGACACCTTGATCTGACTTCCAGCCTCCAGAACTGTGAGAAACTGAATTTCCATTGTCTAAGACATTCAGTCTGTGGTGTTTTCTTATGGCAATCCTAGCGGAGGAACACACCCTACACTCACTGGAGAAACTGAATCCACAATTTGTAAACTGCCCATAAATTAACTCAAGACCCAAATGATTTCGCTGGTAAAGTCTATCAAAACTTAAGTAAGAAATACTACTAATGGGATACAAACTCTTCCACAAAAAAAGAGGAGGGAACACTTCCCAACTCCTTTTTATGAGGCCAGCATAAACAACTGACACAAAAATCAAAAAGGATATTAAAATTATAAGCCCATACTCCTCATGAACACAGATGCAAAATACTTGACAAAATGTTAGTTAGAAAATGAAATATAGCAATATATAGAAAGGATAATTGATCATGCCCAACTGGGGTTTGTCCCCAAAATACAAATTTGGTTCAATATGCAAAAATCAATCAATGTAGTTAATCATATTAACCAAATAATGGAGAAAACAATTTAATCATTAACCAATAGATATGGGGAAAGAATTTGACAAAATTTAATATCATTTGAGGATTTTAATTTAGTCCTCAGCAGATTAAGAATAAAAGAAAACTTCCCCAACCCGTTAAAAGGCATTGGTGTTAAAAAAAAAAAAAAAAATCTACAGCTTACATCCTAGCAATGATGAAAGACTGAATGTTTCACCTCTTAGGGTAGGAGCAAGATAAGGATGCCCACTCTCAAGCAATTTCTATTCAACGTTGTACTGGAGGACTTAACCAGTGCGACAAGACAAGAGAAAGAAATAAAAGTCAGGCCGACTGGAAAGAACAACAAAACTGACTTTATATGCAGACATTAACCCCAAGAATCTACAGTAAGGTCAACATGCAAAAATCATTTGTATTTCTATATACTACCAAGTAAACATTGAAAGTTTTAGAAAATTTAAAATACCATTTTATAATAGCTTAAAAACATGAAATATTTAGAGACAAATTTAGCAAAACACACAAGAGACCTCTAGAGCAACATGATAAAATATTGAGTAGAGAAACTAAAGATAATTGGAAAGATCTATGAAGTTCACACACTAGATGGTCAGTTCTTCTAAACTGGTCTATATAATCAATATAATTCCAATAAAAATCTCAACAGGATTTTTTTCTGGTAGAAACTGACAAGCTGCATTATATGGAAATGTAAAGGACCTAAACAAAACCAGAGGACTTACTCCACCAGTCTAAAGCTTCAATATTGAAAACAATGTGGTGAAAGAAGACAAATGGTCAATGGGATAAAGAAATGTAGAAACAGACCCACAGTTAAATGGTCAAATGATTTCAATAAAGGCACCAAAGCAACTCAGTGGAGAAAGGAAGTCTTTTCAACAAATGGTACTGGATACCCATACAGAAGAAAAAGAACCCATATTCCTACCTCACTGTATAAACAAAAAATAATTCAAGATGTATTACAGACCTGAACATAAAAGATAAAATTATAAAGCTTCAAGAATAAAATTTAGGAGAATAGCTTCATGACCTTTGGGTAAAAGGATTCCTTAGAGGGGTGCCTGGGTGGCTCAGTTGGTTAAGCAACTGCCTTCGGCTCGGGTCATGATCCTGGAGTCCCAGGATCGAGTCCCGCATTGGGCTCCCTGCTCAGCGGGGAGTCTGCTTCTCCCTCTGACCCTCTTCCCTCTCGTGCTCTCTATCTCTCATTCTCTCTCTCTCAAATAAATAAATAAAATCTTTAAAAAAAAAAAGATTCCTTAGAGCTCATAGAAAGCATTAACCATAAAGCAAAAAATTAATAAACTGGACTTCATAAAAATTTTAAAACTACTGTTCATCAAAAGATGCCATAAAAAATGAATAGACAAGTCACAAATGGGATGAAAATATTCACAATATATCTACCTGAAAACAGAATGTATCCAAGAGCTGTACAAAACTCCCTCAATTCAAGAATAAAATTCAAATAACTGAATAAAAAAAACACAGACCAAAGATTTGAACAGATACTTCATAATGGAAAATATAATAAATGGCCAGTGAACACATGAAAAGTTGCTCAACACCATTAGTCATCAGGAAGACGTAGATTAGAACAATAAGACACCACTACACATGCACTAGAATGGCTAAAATGAAAAATCCAGACAAGCCCAAATGTTGAGGACATGGGACAACCAAAACTCCCATGCCAGCTGGTGGAAATATAAGAGTGATTCATTCATATAGAAGCTGTTATACAGTTTCTCAAAAAGTTAAACATCGAAACCATCTTATGACCATTTAATTTCATTCCTAGCTATTTACCCATGAGAAATGAAAATATAAGTCCACAAGGGCTTATGCAAGAAATCTTCATAGCAGTTTTAGTCACAATAGCCCAAACCACAAACAGCCTAGGGGTTCATCCACAGGAAAATGAACAAACTGTGGTATAGTCATACCATTTTATAATCATATAATTTATACAGTAAGAACAACTAACTACAGACACACAACATGGATGAATATGAGGCGTATGTATCATATGGTTCCATTCCTGTGACATCTAGACTAGGCAAAACTAGTCTATGGTGACAGAAATCAGAATAGGGTTGTTTGGGTCAGGGAGTGGGAAGCGATATAGGAGAGCTTTCTGAACTCGTAGAAATATTCTATTACCTTCAAATGTGTATGGATTACACAAACATGCATTTTTCAAAACCAACTGAACTGTACATCTAAGATATGTGCATTTCACTACATGTAAATTACACCTCATTATAAAAGTAAACAATTTACAAATTTAGATACTGTGAATAACTTTATACCATTATATTCGATAACTCAGATGAAATGAACTAATTACTAGAAAAATATAATTAATCTAAAGTAACTCAAGAAAAAAATAGAAAGCCTTAAAAGCCCTGTGACTGTTAAAGAAATTCAATCAGTGGTCAAATACATATATCTATAGAAAATTCTAGGCTCAGATGGTTACATCAGTGAATTCTATCAAACAAAGAACCAATTCTAACATTACAAAACTGCTTCCAGAGAACAGAGAAAGAGGTAATATACTCCAAACTTCTTTCATGAGCTAAAACAACCTTGATATCCAAATCTGAAAAGTTCAATATATGAAAGGAAAATTATGAGCCAATATAATTCATGAATATTAATGCAAAAATTTTAAAGAACCAAATCCAACAATATATAAAAAGAACCATTACCAAGTTGGGTTTACACCAGAAACACAGAGTTGGTTGAACATTAGAAAATCAATGTAATTCAACACATTTACAGATTAAAGAAAAAATTTTTGATCAACAGGTACAAAAGAAACACTGTTAAAACCAAACATCCACTCGTGATTTTTTAAAAAACAGAAAAGAAATAACCAAACAACTCTTGGCAAACAAGAAAGAGAAAAGAAATTCTTTAACTTAATTAAGAATATCTAACAAAATCCTGCAGAAAACATTACTCTTCAATGATGAAACACTGAGAACTTTCAATACTGAGAACAAGACAAAATGCCTGCCACTGCCATTTCTTGGAGGTCCCAGCTAGTGTACTTATGCAAAAAAAAAGAAATAAAAAGGAAAAAAGCAGAAAGGAGGAAACAAAACTTTTGTTATTTACAAATAGTATGAAGGCATACAAAGAAAATTCAAAATAATCTAAGATAAATTATCAAATAATAGTTTAGCAAGATTATAGAATACTAAATCAAAACACACAAATTGGCAGCATTTCTATACACCAGCAACAGTTAAAGACAATGACATTTTCCCCCAAAAATATCATTTATGACTACATAAAAATACATTAAATACCTAGGAATAAATCTAAAAGATGTTCTTGATTTGTATACAGAGGAATTTATTAACTTTGTTAGGAATTATTAAAGACAACCTAAATTAAGAGGAAGATATACCATATTTATGGAGAGAAGACTAAATATTGCAATAAAAAGTTAGCAATTGCTTTATATATCTGATAAAATCCTAATAAAACTCTCAGCTGAGGTTGATTTATTTTGTTTGTTTTCTTATTTTTTGGCTTTGTTGATCCTCCCCATATTGTTCCCTTTTTTTAACTAAAAACAATCACACATATATCAGTATATAAAATATAAATGTATCATTATGATTTACCAAAGAAATGTTGACATCCAAATATCATCATTTTTAAATTAGAACTGTTGCCACCCAATATAGTCCATGGACAATTCACGTTGTTTGCAGATTTTATATTGTTTTTAAAAATAAAAAGATCTTTATTATTGTTTTTGATTATAAGATATATTCAATTTTTATTGAAAATATCCAAATGCCCAAATGTAAAAGATATCTAACGCTCCAGAAGTAAGTACTTATAAGTCAGATATATCTGCTTCCAGATTTTATTCTATGTATAAATTATCCATACACACATATTTTCTTATATTTTTCATGTACACCAAAAACTACCAAATGTCAACAGCTCAACTACCTGACATTTTATTATAGTTTTTACAAAGAATCAAAAGGAAAAAAGTTAAGCCTAAGAATTTTCCCATAAACTTCATCTGTGCTAATTTATGAGTGTGTTCAACCACTTACTGCTTATAAAATAAAAACTTACTGTATTATATACTTCTTCAATAGTTTCTGGTCCTTCAGTGGATTTAGCCACTACTTTCAGCTTTCCGGGTGAACCTTTCTCCAACTGCTGAACCTAGTAAAGATAAGTAATGTAATGATTCTGTCTAAAGGTGACAGAAAATAAATGGGTCAGAGGGTGTACAAGTGTGCACATATAGTTTCCCGACTAAGTAAAGACAGAGGAAAAAAGGACTGTAACAAGGTAAAATTTGGAGGTAGAAATAAATTAATGGATTCGTTGGTGGAGGCATAATAGGAGGAACGAGGGATGTTTTCCAGGTATTGACTTAATAAATTGTGTAGACTGTAGTACCACCTTCTGAGTACTTATATAGGCCAGAAAGATGAGCTGGGGAATACACTTAGGAAGAAAATCAAGAATTTCATTTTTGTCTTAATAAATCTGAAATGCTTATGAGGATTCAAGTGGAGATATCCCATAGCCAAATGTGTAAATGGGTGTGGAGTTTAGGAGAGATGCCTGAGCAGGATATATAAATCTGAAAGCCATTAGCATTGAGATAATAAAGTATGGACCTAAAGAAGACCACCCAGGTAACAAGTGCAGAGAAGAGAAGAGGGAGCCAGTGCTCTGACATTTACAGGTTGAGGAGATGTGGAATCACAGGCTGTGGGACCAGAGAGTTCAAGGATGGAGAGTGTTTCAAATGGAAGGAATGTCAGTTTCACCAAATGCTGCCCAGAAGCCCCACTCCATAAGGGCAGAGATACGACCATTGGATCTGACAGCATGGAGTTGGCCACAGACCCTGGCATGTAATTTCAAAGGAGAAGCAGGGATGGAAGCAGCTGAGAGTTGGCTGAAGTGGAAAATGGAGGCAAGAAACCAGAAGGAACATGTACAGAAGTTTCCTTGTGAACAGGAAAAGAAAAACAGGGACCCAGCCAAAAGGGCAGAGAGGGCAAGGGAGGGCTTATTTGTTTGAAGAGGAGAGACACTGGTGGGAATGACAGAGCAGAAAGGATGTTAACTGAAGACGGAGCATCCCTGACAAGGTGAGAGAAGGTAGGAGCACACAGAAGGCCTGAGAGGAGTAAGGACACCTTCCCGCACAGGGGGAGGGGCGGGGAGGACAGAGGGACACGTGGAGGTCAGTTTTGTAGACTAGAGGTGGGAGCACTATCTTTACGGTGTCCTACTGAGTACGGACTAATTCATTTCAGAAAATGAAGTAAGGAGAGCTAGAATAAAAAACTAAAAAGAGAATAAAAACCTAAAAATAAAAGGAATTCCAAATGCCTTTCGGACTTACCATCACAGGTACAAATTTTCTTAAGAACTTAACACCATGTTGCTCCATGTAGGAACCCACTTTCTCTGCCATTTCTTGATCAAAGCCACGAAGAAGGACTGAGCGCACCATAACTGTGACATCTAAGCCAATGCCAGCAAGAAACCCTGCACATTCCAGAGCGACATAAGATGCACCCACCACTAATGTTTTGCCAGGGCAATAAGGCAGAGAAAACAGGTCGTCACTGAAAAATAAAAACAACAAAAGGAACATGTAGGCAATAAAAATGAACATGTAGGTTTCTACGTATAGTGGTCTTTTGTTGGCTTAGCAACCTGGTGCTTGAATGAAGAAACATGAACAGAAAGAGCCTTTTAGAGTTTCTAAGAGTGTCCACTATAGAGTAAGAAGTATAGCTCAGTTTTTTCAAAATCAAATTAGTGGATCACAAGTGAAGGTGTTTTAAATGAAACAGAATAGAAAATATTAGACTACATTATATAAGAAGAAATATGGTTTGGTTTGAGTGTGTGTGTGTGTGTGTCTGTATGCACACACGCGTGTGTGTGTGTGTTCACCTGAACAACAGTGTCACGAAAAACACATTTCTTTTTTTTAATTTAAATTCAATTAGCCAACATATAGTGCATCATTGTTCCAGATGTAGTGTTCAATGATTCATCAGTTGCGTATGTACATCTGGTAAAAATGTCTGAAAGTCACTGTCCTGCATTACACAATGTCCTCTCTATAACCATCCAGGGATAACTACTATTAAATCCCAGTATTAGGAACAGTCACGCTTCTCCTGATCAACTGGTTCATTAGATCATATAGACACTAAACCCTAAAGCTATTTGTATTTATTTCTTTGCTTTGGCCTCCAGGAAGTTTAGAGCCAACTTCCCAGACCTCACTGAGCAATTACCTAGAATCATACAGCATATATGTGTGCATAAATTTGACCTTATTACTTACCTAATCTTATTTTCTTTGGGCTTCATTATGTTAACCACTTAGCTTCTTGCGTTATACTTTTTATTTGTCATCAATTCAAATCTTTTATGAGATAATATCAGGGACTAAATAAATTGGACACATAAACATAACACAATTTACGGTTACAATAGCCTATTTAATCTTACCTAGTAATACAGTACTCTTTATCTCCTTGGATTCCTAAATAGCGGGGCCTTTCACCTGTTGCTAGGACAAATTTTGCAGCAGTATAGTAAGTTTCCTGTCCTTTTCTATTGGTTGCCTTGAAAAAAGAAAAGCAAATTTCAACTTCTTCTACAAACACGGTAGGGTATCAGACACCCTGGACAACTAGTTACAGAGCTTCCCACCCAACAGGAGCGGACATGCAAATATAGTAATGCAGTGTGATAAGCACCAACATAGAAAAGAGAAGTCTTCATAAAATATCACCAACAGAGCCCAGTGGAGGTGGACCAGGGGACCGGAACGCCAGCCGAGGGTGGCTTCAAAGGTGGTGGTATTTCAAGTGGAGGCAAGAAAGTGAGAGGATTTGAGAAGAAAGAAAACCTACAGAGAGAACAGTGCACAGAAAAGCACACAGGCCTGAAAGTAGCAGGTGCCTGGGGAGTGGCAAGTGGTCAGAAAGTGGCAGGAAAGGGGGGAACGTGTCCCAGTGAAGGGAAACAGATTCATGCCAAATGTTAACACCTTTATTTGCCATTCTCAAGATTTCAGCTACGGGGAACCAGGAAAGGTTATTCATTGTTTGCCTATTTTCAATTATACAAATAATTCATTTAAAAAATTCAAAAACCAATGAAGGTGTTTAAACAAGAGGGTGGTTTAGGGCGCCTGGGTGGCTCAGTTGGTTAAGCCACTGCCTTCGGCTCAGGTCATGATCCTGGAGTCCTGGGATCGAGTCCCGCATCAGGCTCCCTGCTCGGCAGGGAGTCTGCTTCTCCCTCTGACCCTCTCCCCTCTCATGTGCTCTCTCTCTCTCTCTCATTCTTTCTCTCAAATAAATAAATAAAATCTTTAAACAAGAGGGTGGTTTAAATGGTGGGATGGAGGGAGGGCAGCCTGGAGACAGGCACCTGCTCCAGAGGGTCCGGAAAGAGAGAAACAAGCACCGGCTGCGGGGGTGGGAGGGGGAAACCTGAGTTTTCTCGCTGGAGCAACTGAGGAGACCCTGGTTATCACTAAATGCGAAAACGCAGCGAAGAGGCAGGTACGGCTGCAAACAACTGGCTTATTCAACCAACCATGCCAGCCATGCCACAATTTGAGAAATAAAACTACCTGACTCATAGTTCTATGATGTTTCTTTCGTGTGAGTGATGTAATTCAAATTGGCCCATGTATGGTTTCAAAAGGGGCAGCTTTTGACAGACCACCTCACTTTCCAGAGATGATAAATGACTACAAAACAACCTCAAATCCCCCCAAGATCATTGCACACTGTGCCAGGAAAGCAGAGTTCAAAATTAAACTAGGTGTTGAGGGTTATATCTAATTGTCTTTTATAACTCCAATTTAACATTCTTGTGTTCATCAAAACGATCTCATTTGCCTTACATACTGTTCTTATGATATGAAACATTACAAAGCTTATAAAAATACACTAATTTTCATACTAATTTTATTAATACATCTTTGACATATTGGAGTTCTAGTTAAAGTTTCATTTTATTTTTTTTTTAATTTTTCTTTGTACTGAAATACAGTTGACACACAATGTTCCATCAGTTTCAGGTATACAACACAGTGATTGGCGAGTTTATACATCACGCCATGCTCAGCACGTGTGTAGCTGCCATCTGTCCCCGCACAGCTACTACGGCACCCCTGCCTAATTCCCCAGGCTGTACCTTCATCCCCGGGATTGTTCTTTCCATTCTGCCCATCCCTCCTAAGGTTTCATTTTAAAAAAGAATTACACTACTAAAATTTTTCATTTTTTAGTCTTTTAAACTTTCAACTATTTAGTCTAAACATTTTCTTTCAAGGTAGTAATAAAATCAAAAGGCAAATAATAACTTTAAATGAAGAGCTCTTTAAAAAGGCAATTCCTCCAATTTAGCAGGACCTGTGGAATCAACAACAATGGGGAAGAAACAGGTGCACAAAAGGCAATGTGTGTGCACAGGTCAGTGAGAGTCCATAACATGAAACATGGAATTTCAGATCAAGGCAAGTTCAAGCAATAGTAAAGAAAAGCAACAAACAAGACAAAACAAACAGTACCTTTATTTTATGATGTTCAACAAATTCTCCATAGGAATTGACATAGGCCACGGCCTTCTCCCTCAAGGACAACCTGTAGCCCCAGTTTAGAGAGCCAATGTGATTCTGAATCGCTTCTGTCATCGTCTCCCAGTTGTGCTTCACTGAAAACAAATAACCAGAATGAAGGCATAAAGCAAATTTTTTTCCTTTAAAAATTTTTTATTTATTTTTTTGTGAGAGAGAGAGCAGACTGAGCAAGAACATTAGCTGGGGGGAGAGGCAGAGGGAGAGGGAGAAGCAGGCTCCCCACTGAGCAGGGAGCCTTATGTAGGGCTCGATCCCAGGACTCTGGGATCAAGCTTAACTGACTGAGCCACCCAGGTGCCCCAAGTGAATTTCATTTTTAACGTTCAATCATATACAAACACACATAAGCCATACTATATATTGCTTTAAGAATCAAGAAGTGACCACAAGACAACTAGCAAATGAAATCTTTTTTAGGCCAGTTATGGTTTATACTTCTTCCTCTTTTATAATACAAAACATAAGCAAACAGCAGAGTTCTGAAAAGAAGAAAAAAAAATCCATGGAATAAAGAATGGGGAGAACAGTCCAAAACATCACAAGGCAGGAAGATCATCCCTACTAGGGAGCACCCCAAGGCCACTGTGCTCTGTGAGGTCTGCTGCACATGGTGTCCCAGATGTGAAGGGAAGCAGGTCTCAGGTCAGTGAGCACCACACATCCCCTGACCAGACCAGCCTGGGCCACTCCCTTTCGGTTCACTTGGTGATGGTTTTATGACAGCAAAGATCCTACATTTCTTTACAACAAATATAGTTTCTGCTCACCGCGGCCCACCATTTATATTACAATGTTTACTCATTTCCTGTTGCAATTGGAGCAGGAGGTGATGGAATCAAATTCCTCATCATCCCTATGTCTTCAAGGTGGGAATGATTTCCTAGTGTTCGCCTCATCTGTTGATGCTGCTTCCAGAAGGAGAAATCAGCCTCCGTGCAGCACTGTGTTTGTAAGACACAGAGGCCAGCCCAGTAGGGATGAGCCTCTCCACAATGGCACATGCCCTCAAATCCTAAGCTACCTCTTCCCCTCTAATCCAGAAAAGCTACTCCTCTAACCTTCCAAGAACTGTTTCTCCCAAGGACCTTGTCAGTTAGATTCCCACTTCACATGTCCTTTTGTTTCTGGCTCTTGTAAGAAACACTCTAGAGGGGGCGGAGCAAGATGGCGGAAAAGTGTGAGACCAGGATTTCGTCTGGTCTCAGGAATTCAGCTGAATAGGGATCAAACCATTCTGAACACCTACAAACTCAACAGGAGATTGAAGAGAGTAGCAACAACTCTCTGAACACAGAAGCGACCACTTTCTGGAAGGTAGGACGTGCGGAGAAGTGAATCCCAGGCGATATTCGGGAGGATAGAAGGCGGGGGAGGGGGCCTCCATCCGCCGCTTCTGGCAAGTGATAGAGCCGCGGAGCACAAAATCGGAACTTTTAGAAGTCGGCTCCGCTGAGGGACGTCGCTCCAGTGGCTAAGCTGGGGGTGGAACCCCCGCGGGATGGTGTGGTCCCAGGACCCTTGGGGTCACAGAAAGACCGGGGGTGCCTGAGTGCGGCAGAGCTCCCAGGTATCGGAGCGGGGAAGCCGGCTGCAGAGACGGAGCCGAGGCGCGGGCTCTCAGCTCGGGGTTGCCATAAACTGTGATCCCTGGCACAGTCAGGCCACTGCTCCTCCAGCAGGGACCCAACAAGCAGCAGATCCGGGGAGACTCCCCTTCCTCCCCGGGGAGGAGCGGCGCGGGAACGCACCGCAGGGATCTGCTGGGTTTGGAGACTCCACACGGGGTCAGGTGCCAGAGATGGAAACGCTCAGTCACAGGCCAGGTGAGCACGAGTGTGGCCGGAGACCGGGGAGACGGGAGTGACTAGTTTTCTCTGGGGGTGCACTGAGGAGCGTGGCCCCGAGTTCTCGGCTCCTTCAGAGCAGAGATTAGGAGGCCGCCATTTTTCACTCTCGTCCTCCAAGCTGTACCGAGAGCTTGCAGGGAACAAAAGCTCCTGAGAGCAAACCCGAGCAGCTTGCTTTAGCCCTGACCGACAAGGGCCGGGCAATTCCCCCTCCGGCAAAGACATTTGGGAACCACGGCAACAGGCCCCTCCCCCAGAAGATCAGCACGAACAACCAGCCAAGACCAAGTTTACCAATCAAGGACAACGGGAGAACTCCAGCACTAGGGGAATACTGCACATAGAATTCATGGTTTTTTTTACCATGATTCATTAGTTTTTCAAAGTTAATTTCTTTAACTGTTTTTTTTTTAATTTTTCTTTTTCCCTTTTTCAACCAACATCTTATCAATCCCTTTTTTAAAAAAACATTTTTTAATTTTCATTCTTAGAGTCATATTTTATCCCTTCATAGTAGTTACCCTTATTTTGGGCAGATATATATAAGTTGTTCTCTCTTTAAAATTTTGAGATACAGTTTCTTCTAACAGATCAAAATATACCCTAAATCACTAGTGTATGGCTTTGTTCTAGTCTCCTGCCTGATCACATTCTTTCCTTTTTTTTTTTCTTTTCTTCTTATTTTTAGAACTTCTTTCTTTTTTCAAACAACTTCTTTTCTGATCAATTCTTTTATAAAATCTTTTAT